CAGGATGGTTGACCAGACCAATAAACTATTATTTCGACCTACTCCGTATTTCGGTAAGCACATTAAAGCATGTGCAGTCTTTAATTCCCTCCAATCTGCATTGGGCCAGCGTGGAGACTCTGGAGTTATCACTTCATTTAACAACCTTTGGACTTATTTATGCACAAAATTGTTGTAATATTTATTCTGTCAGTATTTTTATGTGAATTTTTTTAATATTGTTAGGAATCTCTTTAGAACACAGTATTTATTTCAAACTATAATGTCATATTCCAGGTTTAGTCATAAAATCATTTACGTTATAAAATGGATTAGATTAAAAAAATAATAATAAGACGTTATTGTTAACACATATACATAAACTTATCAAATTCCAGCAAGGAGTCCGCTGGATCGTACCAATACTATATTTTTTGTCCTGTAACATATTTATTAACTATATTTTTATCCGATGATCTTAGAAGTGTTCAGTTTTTTTCTGTCGAGATGTGGAATTCATTTTTTTAATAATTTTAGAGACACCTATATAAAGATGTTACGAGTAACACAATAAATATTATATAAAAGCGATTTAGCTTACATCGACGACATAATTGTTGCAGTTATTTTAATATAAATATGCTGATAATATTCCGATATATTTAAAGGGATTAGGATTTTCATTTCTAAATAATAAAAGTTGGCCTACTATTTGTTTAGAATTGCGATTAACATATTTGAAAAAAAAAAATATACAGTTGGAAATAGAACTTCGTCTTTTTTGAACTTATTCTAGTTCAAGTCGACCGAGAACTTTTATGTTCACATATATTTGATCCAGGCTGTTGAAAGAAAAATATAATATAACACTGCAATTTAAATAAATACTCACTAAATTGCAAAAGAAAACGGTGGATTAAATCCTACATATCTTGATTATATAACAATTCTAAAGATATTACTTGTTTGTATTTCTGAACTTATTTCATCACGGTACGGTTGAATGATTTGTTATAATGGTCTGAGCAGGAAAATAACGCCCACACAATGCGGAAACCTTCAACCTCGTGAACCGCGCGAAAGGTCAACGAAAGAAAATGTTAGCATTTTTTTAAAGATTCCATTGATACAGGAGTTAATCGATAAAGTTTCACCTGAAGTATGCTCGAAATAAACTTCGTAATATGCCATATCAAAAATAACAACACGCAAACACATTTTCCTATAATTGTATAAATTACTAAGCTGGGCTGGGCAATTCATTTCATCGAGATTTTTATAATTGTCATTAAAACACTACTGTGTTTTTTGTTAATCAAAATCTTTATAGAGTAAGTGGGCACAGGGGGCAAGTAAAGAGCGTGTAAAGAATTTACAAATGTGACTCTAATACCTTTGGATATTTCCTATTTCACAGAAATTACGAATTCTTACCTTTATAACTCTATCCCCTTGAAAATATGTTTTAAGCTTTAAAAAATAGGTACCGCGGTTTTTTTTTAGCGAGTCGGACTCGCGCACGCACGGTTTCGTACCATTATCCATTAAAAAAAGAAAAAAACACGTTTGTTGTTTTCTATGGAGTTGTTCGAAATTTTCGAGTTAAATATGATGCACCAAATTATGGAGAAGACTAAAAAAATATCATCCCCATTTTATATGTAGCGGAGATAGACTAAAAATGTGTTTTCTTTAAAAAAATACTATCCTACTTTATTGGCGTAATTAACATGTATACTCATGCCAAAATACAATTTTCTAGTACCAATAGTTTTTGAGCTAAGCCGCGGGTGGACGGACGGACGGACCCCTAAAAACTAAAACAAACCAAAACATAATTCCATTTTACAATGTTATTATTACATTTTTCATATTCCTACTCATCTTGGAATCTGAGCAATGTATGTGATGTTGTTTAATATTTATTATTATTATTACGAATATTTTCCAGTATAGCATTTTGAATGAAAAATTATTCAAATATAATATATTTAAATATGTCAATAAAACAAGAGCAATGCCATCTAACGATCGACTACGAAATAAATAGAATTAAATAAGGTAAGAATAGCGCCATCCAGGAATTTGATTTATAATAAATAGGTATATGTTTACGACTTTACTGGCAGCTGTTGCCGGAGTGACGTCACACAATGGCGGGTCATACAATAAATCTCAACATTTTATTTAAGGGATTAAGATAATCATGCGAATTTATGACTCGAAATTAGATTCTCTTTGCTTATTACAATATTTTTTTTTTTTACTAGTGAGCGTATTTTCACTAATGTTTAGGCAATCCACCCAAACAGGCGAAATAAATAATTATACGAATATTTTAAACTTTCTATTAAGATGAAAATTTGTTTTAATTTTAATATTATCAATTTTCCAGTCATTTACAATGCTATAGTGAATAATATTCTTAATGGAAAATGCGAAAGGTTGTGAGTTTGAGTCCCATCTCAGAGTACCTGCGGCTGGTGGATTTTGCATATTTCATCTATCTATCTATATACTTATAATAAATCTGTAGAGAGGTCAATTCTGTAGATGAAATATATTTCCAAAATACTATCAGGGGGTGATTAGGGATCGATACTGATGTCAAAAATTCAGTCAGTAAAATTTTTGTCTGTCTGTCTGTATAACCGTTATAGAAACAAAAACTACTCGACGGATTTTAACGAAACTTGGTACATTTATTTTTTATACTCCTGAGCTGGTTAAAGTATAATTTTCATCACGCTACAATCAATTGGAGCAGAGCAGTGAAGGGAAATGTTGGGAAAACGGGAGATATTACTCCATTTTTTAAGCTTCCGTCGCGTGTGCAATCTTAGTGGTTAAAGCTACCCAGAAATCTATGACGGAAATGTTCTTAAAATTATATAAAAAATATCCCACGACAGCATATGACTATCTTTTATGGTTGACTCACAATAACACGTGTAACTCCCGATAGCTTAGCAGTTCGAAGCTTTCTGATTGTATTTGTCTATTGTCTACTCTTACGTTTATAACACTCTCAGTCATCCCTATTTAAAAAAGTTAAATCACGCCGAAACTACTGAACGGATTGATGAAATTTGGTATACAGATAGGGTATTAGCTGACTTAGATAATAGAATTTTTATCCCACTTAACATTTCCCTAGGGACTACGCGGGCGAAGCCGCTGGCGAAAGCTAGTTTTGAATATTTTTCAGTATAGTATAATGAATGCAAAATTGATAAAATATAATAATATGAGTTACATATAAAAAGATAAGTAATTGATCATATTTTATAATAGTAGTGGTGGACTGGGGATGATCTATGTCAGTCTTGCTTTCATTAGATTTTGACCACAATTACTCGATTTTTAAACGTATATATATAGGGACGATCGTAGCTATCCTTATCTAAACTAATATTGGTTTTCATCGATATACGAGTAAGTAAACAGTTAGTTATGAGCAAAATATCTGTGTTATTATCGATGATTCACTCAAGAATTGACGTCTTGTTATTTCGATTATAAAAGGCAATCACTCTGATTCATTCATCAAACTTAAAGGGTATAATATAAAGAAACATGATCAGAATACTCATAAAATTCAGCTATGGATTTGGATTGATTGTTGATAGCATAATTTTTTTTTTCATATTTCTAGATTGTATTGTTATGTAAATACATTTCAATATTGTTTGTAGGTAATATGTGTTCATGTATTATATAATAAAAAAAATCGACTTCAAAAAAGAAACTACATGATGCCTTAGTATTAAAATAAATTATGGATTTTAAAATAAAAAATGTTTTATTTTTTATCATATGTGTATTAGGGTAAAATGTATGCACGAATGATGTCTACGGGTGACTACGAAACTCGTAGCACTGGTTCGTAGCACGATTAACATTTATTTTGTCTTTGACATTCTTATATCTAGTCTGTCTATAAATAAATATATTATTTATATTCTTATAATTCAACTTTACTTTATTAGGTTAATAGGTTAATCTTATTATTATTATAATGTTATTAGGAGTTGTAAGAGACCTTGACTATGTAATTCGTCTGATTAGAATCACTGACAAATATTCAGTTGTAAGACTTGATTGTTAGCTAGGGTTCTCATGCTAGTGAGTCGCTGGCGATCTTATAGTATCAGCGATTTACAATCATACGAAATATGGCGATTGAATCGCTGTGAATCTGAAAAATCTCTAGTTTAAAGTGACCGCAGTTGGGTGTACTTATGCTCCGTGTCTTTGAGATAGGTCCGAATATACACATCCATGGTTATGGACAACAATTGCTGATATTGAAATAAATTTATTTATAGACATTTTCTAAAACCATTCGGCTACTGAATTAACACGTATAGAAATTTATTTTCCTTCATTATCTCTCAAAAATTAAGCAGCTGTTGACTAACGCTAAATTCTATATACATTTTCAAATAAGGACAAGCTTCAACATTGTAGCACTAAGCGCAGACCTTTAATATTAGCGTTCTTTTATATTGCTAATGGCTCGTAGCCATTAGCGGAACATGAAATATATGAAGAGCGAGACAAAATATCCTTTGTTTATCATGTATCATGTGACGTTTGAACCTGATATAAAAGTTATTAGGGCTGTGAAGATTGGCGAAGACCATTAAAATTAACATAAAGAATTTTCTTTCTGAACAAGAAGTTTACAATTTGTTTCAAAGTATAGCAATAAGCACCAGGTATTTGCATTCATAAATAACTTACAATATTTTTGGTATAGCCTACCTGACTTACTGATTCTTTGTATCGAATGTTATCTTTAAAATAACTTATCTGAATCTAACAAATTGTCTTCATAATTCCAAAGATATGGGCACGGTATAAAGCATCGACATTAGTTTGTGTAACTCTTTACTATTTATTAAATGTAATGTAATAGTAGAGAAGGTATATTAATAATTCGTATAAAAAAAAATCAAGGAGAATAGTCTCCTTATTTTAAAATTAAAACTATAAGAATTTTCGGTTATTGTTTTCAGGACGTGGCTTTCATCAACCCAGCGAACGTCGTGTTCGTGTACATGCTGGTCCGTGAGCTGGTCGACGGCGAGCGCATAGCACGCCCTCAAGACCTGCAAGCGGTTGTGCTCACCTGCCTCTACTTGTCCTATTCTTACATGGGCAACGAGATCTCCTACCCCCTCAAGCCTTTCCTCGTAGAAGATTCCAAAGACAAATTCTGGGACCGTTGCCTTTTGATCGTGGATAGATTATCGTTCAACATGCTAAGGATCAATTCCGAGCCTGGTTTTTTTACCGAGGTGTTTACTGAGTTGAAGGCTTGCGGGGTGGAATCCCCGCCGCCGGCGCCCGCGCACCCCGCGCCTGCCCCCCCTCACGCCCTGACCGCTGCCTGACACACGGAGGTAGCGGTCCTCCGGCTCGCTCTCACCGACCGCCCCAGCAGGGTCTGATGTCGGCTTTACATGACTGAAGTGCTTGATCAATCATCGTCTATATGAATGACTCCGGCAATAAGTAGGTATAGTGAGATGTTTTTCAATCAGTTCAGTAATTCATTAGGGAACAAAAAGTTGAGGAAATAAATTGATAGCTCTTTGATTACCTTCTTCAGAACATTTTGAGATATATTGTAGACACAATTTCCTTGTAAAATTTAACGCTTTCAAAAACACAGAAAATATTTCACGTACGAGTAAGTGTTTGCCTTGTTATTATTAAAATAAATAAATATTCAATTTAACACAAGTATAGGTATAGATCTACTCTTGCCTGCTTTATGCTTCTTCATTTTCAAGTGATGGCATCAAACAAACATTCTATTTGCTCAAGGGCCATCTTTATTATTAATTTTTAACCATAGTTAACGATGTTTGACCAAGTACTTGATCAGAGTCAAATGATTATAATACTCGAGTACAAGAGAACCAAAGAAATCGCAAAACGAGTACTGTGTTCGGTGACGCAGTTATAACTTTATTCTTAGATAGAAAGTGATAAAACGAAGAATTCCATTAATTAGACCAGTTAAGACTTTCTGCCATTTATAAAAAAATATGTAGCGTGATTCAGAACAATTTGAATTCGAAAGACCTTGGAACAGCTTCGATTGTAGAATTCCTGCTATAACAGGCCAGACTCGAAATACTCTATTATCGAAATGCTTAGCATTACATTATTAAATAAAATACAGGAATTGTCTGACCCGTTAGTAGTTAAAATGGTTCTTGGGAGTTTCGGGTTAATTGTGTATTATTAAGTCAAATATTATAATTGGGTACCACTCGCCGTTTAGACGAACGTTCGATTGTGTCATCGCCTTTCGGAACACCCACGTCTGTAACTAATTAAAGCACCTGTCTGTCGTGTAGTAGGTAATTGTCTGGTAATTCTTGGCGCTGTCAAGCGGTCGTAGTCCAATAGTACAGCGGTTAGTTAGATAAGTTTAATAACGTAGTTAAATGATCGTATTGCCATATAGTTAGATTATAATGTTAATAGAGAAATGTGTGGCAGGCGGGAGGGTGCAATAAAGTGTTTAGATGATTTGCCCCGGTAAGCCCTTCAATGAAGTGTACGTAAAAGCCGGCTCAAAGCACGGGATCGACGCATTGATTATTATTATATTAAAAAGAAATTAAAAAATAGGTCAAATTTTGCGAATGAATAAGCGTTTTGTACAGTAATGACGAATAAATAAATTCTAAGTATAAAAGTATAGTTTTAGAGACAGTGGATTGCCGGCACTCGGGTCAGGGGCCTACTGTGAATGATACAAGGATACGCGATCCGACATATTTATTTTCGTTTTATTGTCAGTTTTTTAACTTTAACAATGTGTTGATTGAGAAAAATATTAATGTCTAACGATCGTTTAATTTTATTTCGTAGTAGGCTCACTGTTAACATTTTAGAAATTCGAACGATGAAGCATCTATTTGTTTTTTTTAAGTATTTCGCGTAAGTGTAAATCAGCACTTCCACAAGTATAGTGATAAATTAACTTGTCCCGTTCTTTTTGCGCTCAAGCCACTATATATAAGAACTCAACCCATTAGAAAGGCAAGTTAATCGGCCACTGTGTTTATTGACGTGGAAATCGGGCTTGACAGAGTAGGCCTCCAGAAAGCTCCAGAATGTGGTATCAATTTAGTCAGTCTGTAAGACTCTAAAAGAGTTAGTCGGCACGCGATTGAACGACGATGAAATACATAAGCATCTATTAGAAAAAATGTAAACGAAAACGATCTCAATTAGAGTAATTAATTTAATTATGATTTGTGATCTAAACTATATTTTCTTTTGAAATACGACAAAAGATTCATCGATTTATTTTGAGTGAGAGTATAATGTAAGTTTGCATATTTAATTTACACGATATTTTAATTTAATTTATTGTAAAGATTAACTTCGCACCGAGTGCCGCCATGAGTATTTAACGTATAACTTGAATGGGTGAATGTACTTAAGTACCATAACTTTGGAATCTCACAATGATCCGTTTTATTTAAAGTTAAATGATGTAGATGTCTGTGATGTAAATCGATTAGCTTTGTGTTCGTTATATACACATTATGTAAAAATATATTTTTATTTATTTTCTCCTTGATTGTTGTTAATCTAAGTCATAACTTATATGGTTAGAATTATATAAGGCAATAAAGTTTTGATTACTAAAATCTTTTAGATTCAAGTTTTGAGGCCATTTTTAATTTATTTCGCTTAATTTTAAAGAATTACATAAATTTACGTTTTCTGTCATGTATACTATAAGTAGTTTGACTTTTGCAGGCAAGTCGACTGTAATTGGTAACAAACAATTAAGTTAAACGTTTGACAACACGAAGACTTAACTATAACACATTATATGCTTTACGCCTACGAACTTTACGAACGCCTAGTGGCAGTAATCATTACCATTAAAAGCAAAACATTTTCCCTAAATTGCAGCCAAAATATTATTATGTTAATAACAAAGTGGAGAGTGACGACAAAAAATCTCGGCAACCTTCAGTTTTGTGACTGTAAATTCTATGACATGTCAATATTTATTTTGTGTAGTTAATCTTTTCTTAGTTGAAATAAGATATGAGACCAGATGTGGTCCTAAAATTGTCATTAATTGTGAGCACTATTGTTTTCCAATAAGAACAGAAAACCGGTCAACTGGCCACTTCATCACGACGAGAAAAATAAACATATTTTCCCATATATCACAAACATATTTGTAACGATTTTCACAGTGGAAGTCAAGTGAAGTATAGTTAAAGTATTTTTTTGTGACGTGTAGTACCAATAAGTCGACTTACCCCATGTTTTATATCATTTGATTTGTTATCGCATAGTCAGTAACAATTATAATAGAAGTACGGTATTTAGTGTGTCTTCGTTAGCATCTGTAGTAGAATAGCGAACTGATTAAAGTGAGCACTAAATCAAGAAAATAATAATTATGACAAATAACCTTGATGAGATTCTTATAGTTTTAATAATGATCATAAATTGAATACAAAATTTAATTGAACGATCTGAAAAATATTTTATCTTGTTAGTTTGTTATATGTAAAGTACCTAACTATCATTTTATTATATTATGTACCTAAAATTTTGGGATCAACTTTTAAAACGTGAAAACCGAAATTACAATTTTCGTTTTCTGTTTTAAAGGTTGTTCAGTTTTTGAATACAATACTGAAACTAAATTTGATCGCAATATAAAAAAATAACAAAAATGATAAATATCAGTGATTAATTATTCTTATCATTTTTTAGTGAAAATATAATTAGAACCTCGTCTCCTGTAATAAATTTGATAAAGCTAAATGAGGAAATATTTAAAAAAATTAAGAAAGCACTAAAAAAGCTTCTCACTAGATGGCGACTCTAGCAAAAGTTGATTTTTGCAGGAAACGAATGAATCAAAGATAATCATTTCCGTTCCATTTAATTAAGATATTAAAAAACTGAGATTTGCAAAGTTCGAAACTTAGATATCAATACAAATACGAAAAAGTACAAATAGAATATGAGTTGTCTATTGTTTTTTGAAAATTAATTTACTTTTATACATGAAAGAAAACTGGAAGTGTTGTCATGGAAAAATCAAGATAGTACCGTGGCGACCTCTAGTTCTATATACAGCATGCCATGTTATCACGATATGTCATATTTCCACTATTGAGTCAGATGTGTACTTTCGATCATAGCCACTGTGTACCCTTATTGTAACGGTTCACTATATTAAGATTTTCCACTTTATGGGTAAGTTATTTAATCTTTTAAAAATATATGTTACTGGCTATATGCATACAAATCCTTAGACTTTTTCTGTTGTTACGTTGTTATATACGACTTGTTTTGTTTATACAATTTATGTTGTTTTACTTAAGGCAGTTTAAGACATTCAGTATAGTTAAAAGTTATACATCTAAGTCCGATCTGATGGTCATATTGATATTATAGCGTATTTGGTATTGGGTGTGAATGTGCGTACCGATTGGCTATTGGCCATCGGCCAGGCCTCTTCTTACATTAATCATATAACTCACGTTTGTTAATTAATCTATTGTAAATATACCCAATTATTGAAAAAAAAAAAACTTTCGTATATACAATTCGTAGTTTTATTTTTAACCGCCATAAAAATCGAAAAGAAGGTCTTACGTTACGTTTCGACGGTGATGTATATTTTATATATGAATTAGAAGTTTTCTTTCTAACACAAACCAAATTGCGCATTTAAAGAAACAAGTGATAGCGTATTTTGTCATCATCATCATCAGCCCTTTTACGTCCCCACTGCAGGGGCTCAGGCCTTCCTTATGAGTGGTTAAGGAGGATGGGCCATGACCCTCCACGCTGGCCCAATGCGGATTGGAGGGTATTAACGACTGCAAATACAACCGGGACCAACGGCTTAACGTGCCTTCCGAAGCACGGAGTAGCTCGAGATAATATTTTTTTGGTCACCCATCCCGTGACCGATCCTTGCGAAAGTTGCTTATTTTGTATTCATTCAAATTCGGAAAGAAGGAATTTATGTTTCCTTGCGATTTTGTCTGCGTCAATTATAGCCTATGTCCCCTGTACGTGAAGACGTATTATTTAGCTTCCTGTAGATAAGTCTTTCTTCTTAAGTATTGGTGAAAATTTTGTCTAGCAAATAAACTCTCCTTACCTTAGACTTCCACTATGTCGACACATTTTTTATACAGTCATTGAATATTCCTATTGTTAATTTTTACATAAATAAAAAAATAACAATATTAGTAACATAAATTTTTTAAATTTAAATTTAAATATTTTTCTTTCAAAAATTAGAACAGGCTTCATACTTTGAAACAGCGAGGAAAATACTTATCTTAAAAGCGACTTATTCACAAAACTGCTATTGAAG